TTGCTGAATTTTTCAGCGAGGAAAGTACAATTTGATGTCAACCACCTTACTTGGGATTTGGTACATAGATACCTTCTTGCAAGTCTCAAGCAGTGATATAGACAGTTTACGATTTTTCTGCTATTTTGACGAATTTTCTGGTATCAAAATTGGCCATGTTGGGATTGTGTGGTGGAGACATGTTGAGTTCGCCCGCAAATGTCGGCCTCTTTAATTTTTATATGCACTAGATACTTCTCTGAAATGAATCCCGGTCACACCAAACATGCTCGCCCCTTCAGCCGTGGGGGCTTTCTAATATGACGGTCAATCTCACTATTCGTTGGTAAAAAGAGTAGCCCAAATGGCGGTGGGTGGTGCTGACTAGCTGCCTTCCCTCTAGTCTTTCACTGCTAAATTAGGGACGGCCAGCGCAGATAGCCCTCGTGTAGCTTTGCGCGAAATTCAAAAAACAAACAATGATAAAACCTTTTAATCAAGAATACGACTATAAGTACGAAGATAAACTTTCTTGTTGAATTAGGGAGAGTTTCGGAAAATGAATAAGATAAATAGATATTAAAGTATTTTGAAATATATTTCACCCACACAAACAAAAATACTGGATAATAACTCACAGTTTAGTTGGAATTCAAAATCACTACGCTATTAGTATGGAACGTTACCACTGGAATTATATATTAATTTATTTACATTTTATTTGATGAAAATGGTGGACGTTTGTTTTTATGAAGATTAAATTAAGGATCAAAACATGTCTACTTTTCAATATTAACGTGATATTTGTTATTATGGTTGTGTTCAGGATTGTTGGCTATTCCTGTTTACAAAGAATAAGCTATTACCGAAAACGAAAATGATTTGAAACTGCTGTGAAATAACCTCTAATAATGAATAATTGAACATAATGAACACTTTCTCTTGCTATATCACGAACAAAAAGTAAAATGTAATACAATGACGAATGTTATGTAGCCGCTTTGCTCCTTTTTTTAAATTAAAATTATTCACTACACGAACCGTTATACATTTTCATGTTTTATATTGAGAACCTCGGAGCTTACTTATCGCTAATTGAAGCAATGGATAAAATAGGCCTATACTCAATATTTTAGCATCATATCTATATCAAAGCTATAGTCCCCCGGTGAAACAGTGGTAAGTTTACGGACTTCTGTCGTTCATTTCCGTGGTTCGATTCCCCGCGGTGGGCACAGCAGATAATCCAATGTAGCTTTGCTCTAAAATAACCAATTACTATATAAGTATTTCGAACTTCTAACGCCTATTATCTTGATCAATCAAATGCTTCAATCTATTTTTGAGCTGGCATTGATTTCTGTGGGAATAAGATTGTTTGTTTTATTGAATTTTTGCAGAGCTACTCGAGAGAGCTATCTGCGCTAGCCCTCCCTAATTTCAAAGTAATATATCAGAGTAAAGGTAACTATTGAACTCCACCCACTGCCAACTCTTGGGTTACTCTTTTACCAACTAAGTGGAATTGGACATCACATTATAACGCCCCCAGAACTCTGTACATTGATTTCTGTGAGGAAGATTATATGTAATTCTAACTTTACAGTGTAGGAAATGCCAGTATATTAGGTGAGTTAATAGAATTTAATAGGCATTTTTATTTATATAGAACGTGTGAATTACAAGACATGGTATATACTTTGTTACAACAGAATGTGTGAGTTACAAGACACGGCGTATAGTTTGTTTGTTTGTTTTTGAATTTCGCGCAAAGCTACACGAGGGCTATCTGCGCTAGCCGTCCCTAATTTAGCAGTGTAAGACTAGAGGGAAGGCAGCTAGTCATCACCACCCACCGCCAACTCTTGGGCTACTCTTTTACTAACGAATAGTGGGATTGACCGTCACATTATAACGCCCCCACGGCTGAAAGGGCGAGCATGTTTGGTGGGATGCGGATTCGAACCCGCGACCCTCAGATTGTGAGTCGAGCGCATTATCCACCTGGCCATGCCGGGCCTACAAACAAGGTACATAGTTTGTTATAACAAAATGTTCGAATTACAAGACACCGTATATATATATTGTTTTATTACCTAACGTGTGAATTACAAGATACGATATATGATTTGTTAGAAGTCTGAAAATAGATCACACCGTAAAGCTTGCAGCAATTATTATGTGATGAATGTATATATTACACACAAAGGTATTGCAACTCAATAGCAGACAAGCCAGTAAAAGCAGTATTTAGACAATGAAAATTTTGAGCATGTTAACTCAGCTATTTACTGTCAACATAAAACTACCTCACGTAAAATAATGAATACGATGAAATTATGCTTGAATGTTCCCAGACTCAATTCAGAATAGTAACGTCAAACCTGTACTAATCGCGTGATGACAAAGATAAAAATATTTCGGAAATTTTATAAAAGTTCTTCCTAGTGATAATACATTTGCAATTTTGGATATGAAATCACAAGTTTGAGACGTTCTCAGATAATTTATATACGTTACAAAAAAGATTGTATGAAGTGCCATTAGCCGTACCCACCTTTATTATACGGTGTTACAAAGATTATTTTACATGTTCGTACAAGAACTCGATCTATTCATGTCTCTTTGTTTGTTGGATTACTTGTCTCTAATTTTGAAGTAATAGACTAGAAGGAAGACAACTAGTCTACACCACCGCCAAATCTTGGGCTACTCTTTTCATACCGAACGGTGGGATTTGACCGTCACTCTTATGACGAACCCACGGCTCCAAAGTGCGAAGCATGACTTTTTAATTTGACGGTAACGGGATACAAACCACGGAACCTCACCTCTTTGTACGGCAAGCTAACCACTGTATATATATATATATGTCAGAGCAATGGTGGCTTTCTAAACAAACATATACGGTTACTTGATCAAAGCTTTACTTTTACGTTTACTAGTCCTGATCGTGTTGCTAAGGCGTTCGACTCGCACTCTGAGGGTCGCGGGTTCGAATCCTCGTCCCACAAAACATCGCCCTTTCAGCTGAGGGGGCGTTATAATGTGACAGTCAATCCCACTACTCATTGGTAAAAGAGTAGCCCAAGAGTTGGCGATGGGTGGCGATGACTAGCTGCCTTTCCTCTAGTCTTTCACTGCTAAATTAGGGACGGCTAGCGCAGATAGCTCTCGTTTAGTTTTTGCGAAATTCAAAGCAAACAAACGTTTACTATTTTAATATGATAACTCTAAATTGGTTTTATAACTTTGCAAATTTCTAATGACTTTATTAGATTTTATTTTTCATAAGAATAATCTCTGTCCTGTTGAAGTTCAAGTTTATTTGGTAAAAATAGCAAAGTTTACTTTTTTGAAATTACGAAAAAAGTGGGATCATTTTTAATTTGATTGGTACACACTATTTAAATTTTATTTCTACAATGTATATTTATTTCACAAGTTACGTGTTTTTAAAACAAAGTTTGAAAACTAATAGCATTTAATTTTTTCCTTTAATATAAGTTGTTTATTTGCTTTTTGAGAATCATTGGTTGTTATAATGTTTTAATTTCCACTTTCAATCATGTAGACTAATTTCATTCATTTTCTCCTAATTATTTTCTTCTAATTATTATCCAATCAAATTTTTCTCTTATTTTACGTAACCTGATCAATTGCATCCACCAGCTTTAGATTTTAGATTTTAACTTCTTAATAAGCCTGATGATCCTTATTTCTCTAATACAGTTTCAATTAATCCAGCTAGGCCTTCTTTACTTGGATATGCCTTAGTAATTTCTAGTTATTTTTTCTTTTTGTGTAAATGTTTTTAGGTCAAATTTTAGTGATTCGAAATACAGTAGATAAGTTTTTTTTTCACAAAATACTCTGAACATCACACTAATTTGACGTTTTCTCCACTCTCTACTCCAAGTGTACTAATGATTACATGAAGTGATTTTCAGAATAAACTACTTTGTTAACATACTCATGTTATATACGGCCTTAGTCTAGAACAATAAAATGCTTATTTAAAAAAAAAAAAGAATTGCATACTTTAACTTGAATGGTTATCTGTGTATAGTGATTACATAACACGAATATTTACGACATATTAAATATAGATGTAACAAAACTGGCCATCTTTCTCTTGTTTCAAAGCGGCTGACTGAAGTTGTGTAAACAAGCAGTGCGGTTTAGTTAGGTATCAGATACCCAAGGTGGCAGAAAGAAATCTAATGCTTCGATAGCGCCATCTATAAATTTCCTGTCTAGACTTAGCACATATCTACTGTCTGAGGCTATTAGACATTTCAATACCTTATGCGACACCCCTAATTCAGAATTGCTGACCAAAGTGACGGAACTAGTTAACAGCACCCGGTGGCTATATAGTAATGAGATTGACTGTTACAATTATAATGTTTCGTGGTTGAAAGTAAGGAGTGTGTTCAGTGGCACATCTTAAATAACTATGCACCTTCTTATCCGTAGCCTCCTACGCCAACCCAACTGTTAGAATTTGGTGTTGTTGAACATATTTAATAAAACGTTACTTTGTGTTTTGACTGTTCATTTTATATTAAATTGTGCCTGCTTTTAATTCAAGCTAAATATTTCTTTCTTGGATTTGAGAATTAATCTAAGCATTTTTACCAAACTAAATATTTAATATTTAAATTCGAAACGTTTTTAGGTTTTCCATTTTAAGTAAAAAACTTCTACATTAAATACAGTTTTGTATTGTTTACTTTTTAAAAAACTTGCATCACTTGTATCAAGAAAATCAGAACTTTACCTTTTCAGGTGTATATAACAAATAGGTGGAATATAAAACATATTTTTATATGATATGATTCTAAAACTTGTTCGAGTTCTAGAGTAAGCAGTATAGCTATAATTATGTATTGTTTCTCAGCTAATCATTTTTCATTTAAAAATTTCATCATCATTCTTCCTTTACTTCATCTGTTTAGAACCAATGACATAGCTTTGTATCATATTGTTTGATTCCTCCCCATTCTTTTTTTTATCAGGAATGAGTCTGCCTCCTAATGGCAGCAGCAGCATTAGGTTACCTGCAGAAGATGTGAGCCGTTCGTTCAGTAAACAGCAGAAAGTGTGTGGAGTGTGCGGGGACCGGGCTAAAAGCTACCATTTTGGTGGGATCTCTTGTGACAGCTGCAAAGCCTTTTTCCGGCGTTCCGTTCAGAACGAAGGGTACAAGAACTTCCACTGTCCATACGAAGGCAAATGTGAGATTACTCTCAGTTCCAGAAAATGTTGCCAATACTGTAGATTTCAGAAATGTGTGTCCATTGGGATGGAGAAGGGTTGGGTGATGACGGAGGAGGAGAGAATGCATCTGTTACGTAGTCGAATGGAGAGAAAACAGCGACAGGGTACGAGTGAACCCGATAAACCCCCACAAAAAGTGAGTATATCTGACTACGATCCAGACATTAACGATGTTGGAAAATATCTAACTGAAAATGATGTGAGGAGTATCGAAATATTGATTAATGCCTATGAAATTAGTTACCAGACTATTTCTTTCAGTGAGAAACTAACGCCTCAGACAAGTGAGAGAAGTCGGACGGAAATTCTTGACATGTTTTTTACAGTGATAAAACAGTTTTCTCACTTTGCCCAGAATCTTGAGTGTTTCTCCTACATTCCACAACGAGATCAGGAGGTACTGCTGCGTAGCGGTGTCATGGAGATGTGTTTTCTTCGTGGTGCCTACGTGTTCGATGAAAGGCGTGGCAGTTGGCCAGAGCGCAAGAAGATGTTGTATAAAGATGCACCCTCGTTAAAAGCCGAAGACATCAAAAAGCTGGTATCTCCCACATTATTTGAGAAACATATGAAATTCATTGCAGGAATTAAAGAACTGGATCCTGATGAACCAACAATTATGTTACTTCTTGTAATAGTTCTTTTGTCTCCAGATCGTTCTAATCTGGTAAACGTTGACTTAATTACCAATCAACAGGAGAAATATTACATTCTTTTAAAGAACTATATGCTCTGGCGCTACGGACCTGACCACACAGCTGCTCTCTACCCAAAGCTCTTTCTGAAGCTCCCAGATCTGCGTGAGTTGAACGATGCCCACACTGACTACCACTTAAAACTAGACAAGGACGAAATGGAAGAAATTCAACAACAGCTCTCCAGCCTTCGATTAGACTCACCTGGCGATTCTTGCGTATCAACAGAGCACAGTGGAGCGGGGAGACACTGGAGCATCAGAAGAGATCTTGTAATGGAACTCAGATCTTCTTCACCATTGGACCTCGAGGAAGAGTCCAGCTCTAGTGAAGGTTCTGATAGGTTTGCTATGTCTAGGTTCAAGTATGGCGGTGAACGAGGGGCCGAAGAGCCACAGTTATAATGAAGTACAGCTAAAATGTTTTGGAAAGAGCGTATAGATAACTAGAAAAGATTGATACGCTAGATGTAAAATGTGTAGTTTTGTTCTTTTTTCCTTTTTTTTTTTTTTTTTGGATGAAGAAGGCATCTTT